CCACACCGTCCTGATCAACTTCATGGAATTTCATAGTTAACCCTGAAGTCATGCTGGAAAGTCCTGCAACTTTATTCAGATACAAGTGTTTGAGGTATTATGGGCCCTCTGCATTCCAGTGTGGATCTTAAATGTCAATAATCTATTTCTATTTAAGACAGCGGTTCTCAACCTATGGGTTGTGACCCACAGGAACTGTGTTAAAGAGCTGTGGCATTAGGAAGGTTGAGAACCACTGATTGAAGAGAAAGGCTACTGAGAAATTGATTGGGATTACAATAAAACCACAGATCAACTTGGGAAGAACTGACATCTTACCAGCGTTGAGTCTTCCAAGCCACAAACATAGTACAGCTCACTGTTCATAGGCATCTTCCTTAATTTCTCTCAATGTTTTGTAGTTTCACTACAGAATTTGTACAAATCTTTTGTTGATTTATTACTATATATCTCATGTTGGGTGCTCTCATAAATGGAAAGTTTTTATTTTATTTTTTTGCAGTTTTGGCTGGGGCCAGGTTTGAACCCACCACCTCTGGTATATGGAACCAGCACCCTACTCCTTGAGCCACAGGCACTGCAAAAATGGAAAGTTTTTAAAACTGATGATCAGTATTTTTGTATGCTGTTCTTCTACCTTGTGACCTTGCAAAGTTTACTTATTAGTTTTATGGGTTACTTTTTATGTTATTAATGATTTTTCATGTAAACAATCATATTTCCTATAAACAATCATGCAAACAGAGGCATTTTTACTTTTCCTTTCCAACTTCATACTTTTTAAGAACCATACTACACTGACTAATCTCTAGTAAAATGCTGAATATAAATGGTAAATTATATATTCTTGCCTTGTTTAAAATCTTAAAAACAGAGCATGCAGTGTTTCCATTTAATGTGATTATCATCATTCAACTATCTCTTAGATATTTGTTTTCTCCTTTTCACACCTTTTTTTGTTTAAATGTTTTCAGAATTTCACTGCAATTAAACTATGTTTCAGATGTGCTTTGTGTAACGTTAATGTTGCACATGGATCACAACAAGCTCTGCATAACTTATCACATCTCAGATTCACTGCCACTCTGCCGTTGGCATCTGTGTCTATATACCTCACAATATTACAACTGGAGCTTATAAATGAATTAAGAGAAAATACACAATCTTTTAAAATTTACCCACATATGTATCAACTATCTTAAGTGGTTCTTAACTGGGAGAACCTACCAGGGCCAGGACAGAAATGTGGGTAAATATCCTACAAGGCACAGGACAGCCTCCTTGAGAGAACTGCTCAGCCCCAAATGGCAACAGTGCCAAGGATGAGAAAGCCTCTTAAGATGGTTGCTTTCAAGATTATCTCTTTATAACTATAGTTTTCAGAATATCAACTAAAATGTGCCTAGATAAAATTTTCCTTTATTTATTCTGATTTGCAGGAGGGCCACTGCACCTATTAGAGCTATCAGTTTTTTGAAGTTAATTTAGAAAATTTTCTTCTATTATTTTCTTGAAATTTTCATACCCTTATTTGTCTCTCCCCTTCTCCTGGGATTCCACTTACACATATTTTAGACTGCTTGATATTTTCCTGAGATCTCTGGAAATCTGTTGATTGCCTTTAAAAGAAAATCTTTTTTCCCTTCTATTCTTCAGATTGAATTCTTTTTGTCTTTATTGAACTTTTCCCTTGCTTTCTTCAATCTTCTGCTATGCCCATCCAGTGCATTTGCATTTTTTATTTCAGATATTATGGCTTCCAGTTCTAGAATTTTTCAGTTATTTTTCATAGTTTGCATTTCTTGGCTGAGATCTCTTACCTATTCCTTACGACTCTGCATTTTTTTACACTTCTGGACTTATTTATAGGAGCTGCTTTGTGGTTGTTGTCCACTAAGACCAGTATCTGAGTCACCTTTGGGTCAGTTTCTATAAATCCACCTTTCCATTAATTGTGAGTCATACTTCTTGCTTCTTCGACCATCTAGCAATTTTCATTTGCTGGACCAATTATCTTCCTCTGAAGGGTGCTGATCTTTGTTCTAGAAGGAGTTAACTTTGCTGCTTAAACTCTCTCTTGTCTCTGCTGGAGAGTCAGGGCTCCTCACACAAACACAGTTCAGGGATCAGCAGGTGCATTTGGGCCACGGAGATTTTGAGGCTCCTTCCTATGAAGGCCCCTCTTTAGAATCTTACTGATTAGTCCTCAGTTCTATCCTCTGACTCCTCAAGCATGTAAGACCCACAGCTTTCTGCAAGGACTGGAGAGTGACATAAGGCAAAAAGCCCCAGAAACACACATCTCACCAGGGAGGTTTCCCCGTCTCCCGGGCCAATCCCCCTTCAGTGTCTGCTGTTGGTCATCCCCTGTGCTTCTAGACAGTTGCTCTCTTTCATATTTAGTCTAGTTTTAATGATGGTTACCTGCAGGGAGATAGTGTGATATAAGCAGCTTCGTCAGTATTGGAAACACCAGTGAAGAGCTTTAAATGTGACAGTTTTACTGGGAATGAAGAGTATTTCCCTCATCAGTGGCTGGGCATGTCCCTCTCCCCAAACTAGGCACAGTTTCTTTGAGACACTTGAGAAACTTCCCTGTGGATAATGAAGATTGTGTGGGCTTTGGGTCAAGAGATCATTTACTGACTCTCTGTGAACTGGGAAAGATTACTTTCCCAATTATGCTTTTTCCCTTGTATGAGTGAGGTGGTAACTTAAATCTCATAGGGTTGTTAGAAATGCCAAATGCTCGTGTTGCAAATCACACAGCAAGTGTCAAAAAGAAAACAGAAACTGTTTGCTTTGCTTCTTTAGATCTCTTCCTGCATTCCAGAAGTGGGACAGTGGAAGGAATTCCTAATAGATGACCATTTGTTTTCCAGTTACTTTGTTCCATCAGTAACGTCAAATTTATTTTATAATGTAAAAGAGCACAAGAGGGCAAGAACAAATGTCACTTTTAGAACAAGTGTGAGGCAGGAGCAGGGACTGTCCCCAGGGACACAGGACCCAGGCAGGGTCTGCTCCTCCACCTGTCTCTGGGAAACAAGGGCAGAGGCAGAAGGACCAATGGCCGAAGGTTTCCTCATCACTGACTTTGTCAAGGTGTGAACGAGTTTTTCTATGGATATGAAGAATATACGAGAAAGCACAGTAATCTAATAAGCAAAACTGCTAAGTAAAAGGAGACTAATTTCAAAACTAAAAGGTCAGCACAAAAATTAGTTTTTAAAGCTCAAATCATACATTTAACTAAAGTTTCAAGAATTTATTATGCTGCTCCTATTTATAAAAGTAAATTTTCTTCCTTGTAAAAAAATAAAAATATTGGAATTATATATTCTATAAAAGAACAGGTTATGAAAACTTTACCACTTGTTTGCATTGTTCTACATTATTTTTAATATTTGCATTTTATTCACTAGTATACACATGACATAAGTTGTTTACTTGGTCTTATGAATTATTAGAAATTTAGGTTGTTTCTAATATTTATAACTACTAATTATTCATAAATAATTTCACATATCTCCAATAAATTCCTTGGCCTTTGTCAGCTGTAAAGATAATCAGGATACAACTACTGTCCTCATCTAAGTCATTATTTAAAATATTAACTGATCAACAAACAAAGAAGTCTCATAGAACAACGTAAGAGAAGACCTTCTGAGCCGTATCAATTCATGATTCCTGTTCTTTAAATGCAGGTATGTTGTCACCTCGTTACATCATCTTCTAACCCATATTTTTCCATCTTGTCTCAGGTACATAAGAGACTTTATTATAAATTTCACTAATATCCAGCTGCACCATTTTGAAGAATTTGATCTGTGCCTCTAATACCCTATCATAAAAGCATAATTTGGCATCAATTAATCTAAGTGAATTCACAGTGGTTTTCTTTTTTTTTTTTTTTTT